CTTAGTTGCCATACTACTTCATTTGTGGGCTATATTCCTACAATTTACTTTAATTTTAGTTTTGAGTATAAATTTTATGTTGACTTACCAGTGTATTGTCTACTTCGACATAAGAAGTTCAATAGTGCTGTGTTTATATAAATATAATTGCCTCGTTGCTACCTTATTTTCTCTATCATTTTTCTCCCTATTCAGAACCATGGACAGTAAGAACAGACACATGAAATCAACAATGATATCCCTCGAAAACGTGCGAAAGAGAAATGACGTCTGATCAAAGAGAAAAAATATACACAAGCTGGAGGAGGTGAAGTGCTATACATCACCAGGCACAAAAAATCCATTAAACTACATTTTATCATATCATGTGACAAACGATAACCCAAATCAGGTTATTGTGGATCAGCGACTAAAGTATCCCAATCGAATTAAACTGCAGTTCTAAAATGATATGCTAGGATGAACATCGGCTTAATTTGTATAACTCGGACTACTCTATTCAGGCACCTACACCAGGTCTTTTAGAAAAACACAATGATGGCACTTATTCCCCAGCAGACGAAACTTGAAGGGATAAAAATGCTACCTGAAGTTCAAACGACTCAGCCTACTGTTCAGAAATGTCACAAAAATAACGGAATTGCATGCTCATTGCCACTTAAAACCTGCTACTCTGCATTTGAATGTGAATTCTGTAATTAATGATATCATTGTCGCTGTGATACTGCAGTATCTAGATAGTTCTAGTGGTTCATGTCAAATCAACCCTGTCCATGATTACGATACGTTTGTCCACAGTGCAAGATCAGTGAGACAACGACGGCAGAGAAGCCACAAGCTCCACTTGAATTAGACCTAAAATTCACCACTAGTAAAACTACTTTGCTCAAAAACGACCGATCTAACAGTCAACAAAGGTGGCGACGACCGAAGCTAATGCATTGAAGCAATCAGCGGTTGGAATAAACTCCTACGTATCTGATGATGTTATGGAGCAACGGATGAGCATATAAAGGAAAACGCCTACACCAAGGTTCCTGAAACGCTACAAATGTGTGACAGAAACGTCATACAAAATACACTACTATTGAATGCTTCAGTTTCGACAAGAAGAGCCGGCATTCATAAAGAATAAGACGACACACTTCCCAAATAATAGATGAGAAAGAATCATGCTGGTGTTACTTAACCAAATAATCAACGTGATAGGATGATGTCTGCGTTGCTTCAAAATGAATGGCACAAAACACTTGATTGTAGGGATTTGCCGGCCCTATCAATTCCTAGCCCATAAAGATAAGTTGAATGGGGAAATACTGCAACTGTCACTCGTTGGGTTCCATCAAATACTCCTAGTTGAAGATTTCAACACTCCATCCCTAAATCTCTCATGACTAAAAGAAAACCTACAAACCGGGGTGTTTGTGCCCTCAAAGGTCCAGATAGCGAAGATTGAGATCTTTAACGTCAACTTAACCTGTCAGTTAAACCAAGTACCTGCACGTATAGAGTACTACTCAACTGACGGCCTAGGACATATCTGACTTACTCTTGATTTGGTACTAAGGAAACTCGAATTCCTGCCACCAGAAAAGTTACTAGGATGTGATAATATTCGCCCTAGTCTTGATACAGTAGGAAGAAGCACTCAGTTCACTGGTGTGTGGCCTATTCAGGAATTCACTAGGGTCACTTTTACCTCCCAACTGAACGGAAACAAGCTACCCTCTCACCAATCTTTAAAGGAGAAGATAGGAAGTATCCAGCCTGTTACGGACCAGTCGCATTGTTATCAGTACTGTTTAAAGTGATGGAAGGACTGTTGAATGAGTAAATGCGGGAGTGCATGCGTAATGTTTTTAGTTCATTGTCGCCTATCATGTGTTTTATTGTTCTCACTCAGATTCTGTTGGCTTATCATTGATTCCATCTCGTCATCGATTAGCCCATTTATAAGCATAATACTCCCACACTTTCCTACTGACTACATAGAAAATCCTCCCACCACTTGATACTTAATACATAAAATTTGTTTGAAAACCAGTACTCCTTTTTCCTCAACAGTGAATTTTATTGTATTGATGGCCAGCACAAGGTCATAAGTTGTAACAGCCAGACAAGCTTGTAGAAAGGAAATTGCAGAAACAGTGTTTCTCAACAAGATGTGAAATACAGTGTCTCGATTCGTGTATAAAACATTATCTTACAATCATTTGAAATTAACCTAACGACACAAAAGGAGGGGAGGTGGAGTTATTGACCAGTAAATATCGATGGTGAGGACGATGACTGCAATGCACCCATGTTTTTGGATCAGAACATTTTGTGTGTATCCGTCTCTCTTTGATTGATGAAGCAAACATTCAGTGATAATGAAGTTGGTCTTATACGCTTGCTACCTCTGAGACTAACGTTTCCAAAAATATTCTAGGATCGCTAATCAGCCAAGACAACCGGCAACATGCTTACTCAGGCATTTACAGTACGACTTAGAGGTCGGGATTCGATGTAAGAAATGATGATCGAAAATGAACAATATGATTATCAATGTCGTTCGCGAACTTTACTCTTCTTCCTGAACTTTTGGCGATAACGTCTAGATATCTAGCTTCTCACTTCAACTTCTATCCACCTTTATACACGTCACAATCCATTTTTCTACATTACTGTACTCCCTAATTTGAAAGCTATGTTACTACAATTTATTTTCATTTTAGTTGTGTGTGAATTTTATACTCCAAACTATCATTTCTTTGTCTGCTCCACAATGAATGGTTAAACAATATTCTGGTTATATGTATACGGTTGACTCGTTGCCATTTTTTTCTTTTCTCTCTCTTCCGTCCGTTATCGGAACCCTATCAGCAGTGTAACAACTATGGTGCTTCTACGCATAATGCACCTCACGTAGGCGCTTGTCAGAGTTACAACCCATACCAAGCGCCTTTCAATCGATACTTTCTAACAAATTCACCCGTGAATTATGCATACCACCAAGATCTCTAAAGTGTGAACAATCTATTTGTAATCACCTGCTGAAAATGTGGCTGTATTAAACTATTCCTGCCGGTGACATGGTGTAAACTTGCTGTCAGAAACAGACTCGTATTACAAATTTAACAGCGCATCTTTTTACAGTAAATATGGTGTATTTGTAACAATTTGATTTCGCTTGTAAACTGGCATGCCTCTTGTAACACAAGTTATTTCAGAATACATATATATTACATTAAGAACAAAATTCACCGTGAAGCTCAATATGGGTTTCAAAAGGGTAGGTCATGTGCACTCAATCTTCTCATAGCATGAGACATCTGAGCAACCTGCTGGAACAGGAAAAACCAGTTTACAAAATCTTTCTTGACTTTGTAAAACCTTTCGATGTACTTATTCTAGAGAAGGTTGAGAAAATGAGCTTCATGACCCGCATCTGTCTTGGCTACCCTGAGAATAGAAAGTTTCGCATCAAGGCTAATAGAGTGCACGTGAGCTGACGAGTCTCAAAACCGAGATTTTCACAGAGGACCATCCCAAGTTCACTTCTCTTCCCGATATTCCTTTATGATCTGTTATACAAAATTAGCTAAGCCGCATTGGTCTGTGCAGAAGATGTAAAGACCTGAAGGTTCATAAGAAACGAGGAAGAATAAACTGAACTACGAAGGGACATTGCATCTATTGAAGAATGGGTGGTGAAAAAAGTTCTAAAACTAAACCAGCCGAAATATCACGTCATGTACATCCTGCCCCACATGACACAAACGATTGACATCCTCAACAGTTGTGCGCTCCCTCATGTCTCCTCAGAGAGCGATCTTGGTTTAATAACGACAAGAAGCCCAGTCACCAGTTCAAACTACATAGGGGACCCAGCCAAGGATAACGCAAGTCTTCACTTTATGCGAAGACAGCTTGGTGCTATCACACCAGAATTATTCTCAACGCTGTTCAACACATGCACGCTAACACTTCGAGATTCTCAATGTCATCGCATCCCCTCTCCTTAAAAGAGACATAAATTTCCAGGAGCGAGTACAGAGACGAGCAACTAAATGAGCGATAAAGTTGAAGAACAAACCGTTCGAAGATGGACTCCAGCACTTAGGATTATTCTCTATGAATTACTGGAGAATTAAAGGTCATCTGATTATCGCGTACAACATATTAAACACGCCAAACCGCCCCAACGTAAGCATCTTACCGATGCATCACCACCACTCCCCTCGAGGCAATCCTCGAAAAATTGCACATCAAAGAGCGAATACTCAGGTTGGTGCACACTTTTTCTCATTGAGTCGTTGCAACTTGGAATGCTCTCCCAGCCGAGATGTAAACAGCCCCCTCAGTGGACGGGCTTTAAGAAGAGACTTGATAAACACGTACTCACATACGGATTATCATCTCCGTCGTGGACAAGCTGTGCCTGGTGCATGTCCTGAGACCTGCAAGTTGTTATTATTACCATCTCCTCAGATCACCAATTTAATCTATCCCGCCTATTATATATGTTTCCTATACCTTGTTTACATTTCGATCCTCTCTCACAATCTTCATTACCAATTAATAAACTAAATTATCTATTTATTTACTCCTGAAATATTATTCTTATTAGCCGTAGAATGTTCTCCTTATTATTATCCACATTGCAGTGAACTGATATCGGGTTTGGTAATATAATAGCTGCTGGTATCCAGACACCCTACTGCCTTGAAACAAACGTATTCACTCAAATCAAGGGACGTAAAAACAGACAAACAAAAGTCAACTGACCAGAGTTAGATAATCGAGTGGCTAGACCCCCACAGCACCACACATTCACTGGACATTACCAAACACCTAGAACCGTACCGAAAGAACGAAAATCGAGTCCAAAGAAATCAATTGGTTAATACTAGCTCGTGAAAAAGATATGTGATGTTTGATTCCTTTATTGAATTTTGTATAACTGAATAATTGAGTCGTGTTTTTTCGACACAGTGATTGGTTATCGTGCCATGTTCATGAGGAGCTCGTTCTTTCGCCAGTCCAGGAAAGAAGACAGTACATTACATCCTGCTGTTTTTTCAGAGTCATCCAAAATTGACGGTAAAAAGCAGCCTTCCTTGATTTGGAAAGGGTTGGAAGATGGAAATGCGAGCTCAACCTGTGATTTAGATGATGACGACTATTTTGAGAGCGATCATTTTATTTCTTCCAATGAGATTAGCTTGTCCGCACCTTCAAAAATCCACTGGAATGATAATAAGTGGAACAAAATGCTTAAATTCGGTGACGATACAAAGAAAATTGATCCTGTTCAATTTACTGCGGAATCACCTAAAATACTCACTTTACGAAACACAGCACAGAAATCGCATGCTAATAAATCTCTAACCTCTTTAGATAGTTTCGATCATGTTGGACCTCAGTCTCCTCCAAATGATATGTCGATCCCTAAAAAAGCTCCAGCATCACCAATGCTTAATTTTCTCAGCAAAAAACCAAACGGCTCATATATGCAATCACCTGACACACATAATGTGTCAACCAGCTCTGAAGATACCATTTATTTCCATCAAACTCCAAAAATCTGTTCAGATTATACGGGGGAGGTAAAGATACATCTTGAAAAGGTCCATGATAAATCAGTCACTGAGTTTTCATTTGAAAATAAATCATACATGTTATGCGATAAGTAAATTCACCATATTTTGTCACAAATTTAGTCTTGAACATTTGTACAAGCGTCTGAAGCAAGAAGCAGAAAATCTTGAGACATGGAAGTGTTGCACTATGTCAAAATTAGAGGAAAAGGTAGGAAAAATAAAAATATAATCTCTTTAAAAGTGTCTAGATCTGCAGTCCTATGAATCACTTGTTGAAAATTTGCGGAAGGCAAACCTTGAACTTCAGGTAATAAAATAAAATAAATGGATATTTTTTAGATGAATATGGAAACCGTTAGTTTAAAGTATAAAGATGAGCTAGCTCTAAGAGAAAAATTAACTGAACAGTAATATAATAGTCATTTCAGTAATATAATTTTTTTAGGCTTTCAGCTGTCAAGCAGCAGTGCATCACGTTGGGGCTCAAAGCTGACAGGCTAACTGAGGCAAATATAACAAGTGAACTTATAATAAGGAAGTAATTTTTAACAGTTAAGAGCAAATTTTGTCAGTCGGAATATGTACACGATTCTCTCCTCTCCACATTCAGAGGAATAAAATGTGACTTAATTCAGCAGTCAAACGAATGTTTAAATAAATTCAAGGAATCAGATCAGTCAAGTAATTTCTTTGGCACTTTGTAAAGTGAAACAGTTATGAGAAAAACACTTTATATAGAAACACTTCAAGAGTCAAATATTTTGATGGACGGAAAAAACAAAATATTGGTAGAACTATTCTTCGTAAAAACATAATTTTTACAGGAAGACGAGATTCTTCGTTGCGAGCAAAAACATCACAACGAAATACTTCAGCTGCAAATTGAAATTGATCGGCTTAGTACCGAAAATAGTTAGTCTTACCTATTTTGAAATGACTGATTAGTTGAGCTTAAGGAGATGGAGAAAACCTTGGTGTGCAGTAACGAGAAAAATCTGTCACTGATTCAAAATTTGAAGGATGATTTAACGGAGGAAAAAGTAACATGAATAGTAACTGAACTCCTGTTTCAGATTAACAGAGAAAAAGTTGAAGACATGCTGATAAATATTAGTAGAGAAACTGATAAGTTCAGAGACTTAGTTATTGAGTTTCGAGAAGAGGGCTTTTACAAATTAGAAGCGCTTAACTCTCTCAACAAAAAGCTCAGCTGCCTTACAAATCACAAATCGATGTTACAAGGCCGTTTCAGATGCTTTGTTGATAGAATAAGAGACATGGTCAATGAATTATATTCACTACAGGTTCGGCAGAAAAACAGTAGTGAAGAAGTATTCACTTCTTTAAAAAATGAACAACAGCACATTCGAAGTTTAATCAAGAAGATAAGCGAAAGGTAAAATAAAGTGTTCAGATTTCATACTTTCAGATCAACTGTTATCCACCAATTCCAGTCAACCATTTATCACATATGCGGTAAAACTTATTTTGAAATATAACTTTTCTTTGAAGTTAATTTAGTGATGGAGACTGAAATTTTAAGAATCGATAGAGAAAACCTGGTAAATAAATGAGATAATTTATATATGATAAAACTCTTAGGTAAACCTGAAAAAAAAAGTATTAGAGTTAGAGAAAGAAATAGAAATTTACCAAATGAGTCAAAATTCTCTGACGGACGCACTGAAAAAATATCAGGTTATAAATGAAAAACTACAGGTAACTGGTTGTTAAATATTGTTTCTGTTTTGGAAGGTTAATAATGACTCATTACACGCACAGTTAAACCGCGAAAACCAAAACTACATCAAGGCTAATGAAAATTATCTAAAATCTGAAGCTCTAGTCAAGCATTTAGAGGTAGGTTATTGTTCTAACAAAATTATCACAACATAGGAAATAACATGTGCAAATCAAAACGAAATAAAATATCTAGAAGAAAGAGCGAAAGCTATCGCAAAGGAACTAGAAGAGGAAAAGTAAAAATTAAAATCTATTTTAAGTACCATTCAGGTTAAACTATTCCAAGGTTAAAGAAATGCTTGAAGTCTGCGAAAAGAGTTTCCATGAACTTAAATTGAACGACGAAAAGAATCAAAAGGCACTTGATCTGGCACATGTTCAAATAAAGGTAAAGCTAAGCGTGGTTTTATACCTACAATATCTGTATGAAGTTTTTATAGTTTTTCAAAAATTAGTTAATTTTTATATGCTCTGTGTACAAAACTTATAACCTCATTTACAGGTGAGTGGTTTCATCTTTATGAGCAAAAAGTGTTTATTCAGTGAATCTTAAATTTAGGGTCTGACATACATGAAAAGTTGCAAGGATTTACTGGACTCTAGCTTTTAGCTACGAACATCTAGTGAATTCGAACTTAAATAAATGCCAAGTAATTAATATTGTTTGATCCGAAAAAATTAAGGGCGCAAAACTGAAATAACGGTTGACTTTTGATTTATTTGAGGACAACTAATTCTATGAAAATGAGGATTTCTAACTGTATATATAAATTTATATATTGTAAAGAATTACCACGAATCACCATTTAGGTGATATTGTCTTCCTGGAAATTATTTATTACACCTATCTATTTTTGGATCAGCAGCAAAATAAGATTTTAGATACCGATATTCATTCAGAGGTCGTAAACATTATCACCCATATTTTAGGAAAAGATTGATATAATTTCCATTTAGGTGTAAACCCACTAACAAAAGCTGGTTTCCATTTACATCTATATTTAAAATTGAAGACTGGCACCTATTATTTAATAAGCTAAGAAGATATGCCCGCTGAATTAAATTTTAGAAGAAAGCCAAGATTTTATAGTTCAATAAAGTGAAGAATTAAATATCAGTGGGAAACTAGGGATAGAGTTACTTCTGACATACTGTTCGTAAGCTTTAATTTTAAGTTGTATCACCACCTTATCATTAAAAATATTTGATAATGCATATCGATCTGTGATGCGTGTATTAAATCAAATTGGTAAAAGTATTTAAAAACTGAGTTGTATTTAACACAGTAAGAACTTCCTAATAATATCATTCAAACCACAGACTGCAGCTACTAAAGTATTTGGAGTTAGAAACTTCGCACTTAGCAACCAACTTTTTCGATTAAAATACTAAAAATAGTGGATTGGATAATGGCATCAGTGTATAGACAATGGAAGCGTTTCCCGAGACGTCAACATATTTGAAAATTTTGATAATACTTAGGACTCCTACTTCGCACAAATAGATTATGCAAATGGTTTCCAATAAGAAACAAATAATACACTTCTTTTTGCCTGTTTTCCAACTGTTGTCACAAACCCTGAGTAGCTCAGCTTATAAAAGACAAGTTATTGATTTTTTATCCCAAGAAATTTTAAAATTAAACTGGCATTATTAAAATATAAAATTTAATTGTTTATCTGATATGCACTTACCAACAAGTAATTTACAAAAAGGCAACTGCATCATACACAGCAACAACATTGAAATCCGAGAGTATTAAATCTTGAGCAATCAGTCAGTCACTCAGTCAGATGCAACGTAGAACTTCGTACGTAAGTACATCAGTTCATGTCGCCATACCACATCAGCACAGAGATGTAATTGTCAATTCAAATCCAATAGTAGAAGAGGTAGTAAAGGTTTTAGAAGTAATCAGAGAGGTTAGGATGAGAAGATATTATTCAAGGAGTATGATTAAGTGAGATAAGTTTAGAAAGTCAAAACTAGAGGTGTCGAAGAATCCGGAAGATTAGGATTTGAGAGAACACAAAGAATAAATGCACCGGCGCCATTGCAAACGGTTTTGAGCCATGTCATTCAGGGTCTCTAAACACCGATTATGATCATCTGACGGACCCCAACCAGGTAGTCGATAACTACCGACATGACTCAGTCCACTTGTCAGTGATTTCATGGATTTCTTCCGTGTTTTGGTCTGGCCTCCCCTAGCTTTCTTCCAACCTATTCCTACACTACAAAACAAAGCTCTTCAAGGCAGTCGGTGGTTAGGCATACGCAGCACATGTCCCAACCACCTCAACTGATGAAGTTTCTTTACTTCGTCTACTGATCTGCAATTCTTACCTAGCACCTGTTTCCTAATAACAGCGTTGCTCACTCGAGTGTCCCAAGATATACGAGCAATGTTTCGAAGACACCTATGATCGAAAACCAGTAACCTACGAATATCTTCTACTCTCATTGGCCATGTTTCACAGCCATAAAGTAAGACGGAGCGAACCACTGCTAAAATACATTTGATGCTTATTGTCTAAGAGCTACTAAGAAATCATATAAACCTTCAACATAATAATCTTTCAACGATAATATATATTTGGTGACCACTTGCTATGTAGGACAAAATGGTCATGAATGCTATGAGAAATTCAGCATTAGGCATGCGGTTCACGGAGCCTATCATGTTGATTGCGTCTATCCAAACGATATGCAGAATCTTAGGGTTAATAGCAACAGGGATGTAAAAAAATAACTGAAGGTTGTAGGACTAGTAACCCTTTTATACTGGAAAATATTCTCTATTACACTTAGTTTTATTATGTTCCCAGGAAAAAGAAGAGCATCAAGAGGAGTTGAAACGGCAACTGATAACTCTTAATCAAGAAAAGGAGAAAAATATTTTGAAACAAATCCAGCTTACTAACAATATAAATGATGTAACAATACAATTAGAATACTCAAGACAGGAAATCGGACAGCAGAAGTTAAGGGAAAAATTTATTCAAGAGCAAAACCAAAGATTAGAAAATGAGAAAAGTGAACTACTGAAGCAAAATGAAAGTATTATGGATGAACTGTTGTCTTTGAAAGAACGGTTGGATGTGCAATCTAATGAAATAAAACAGAAGCAAGATGATATTGACAGCTTACGGGAGATAATTGAAATTAAAAATATCGAGAACTCTAAAAGCAACAAGAAGGTGGTAAGTTTCAATTAAATATAAACACAAATCAAGGATAAGAAGCTTAATGAATCTCTGAATCTTATCGAAAAGCTTAGAGAACAAATCAAGGAACTGAATCAAGAAAAGGTATTTTATTTCATATCAAAGCTGTAGCTGTTTGATTTGTATTACGGGCTCATTATAGGCATGGCTTAACATAAAAAATCCAAAACAAGAACATATTATTGATAAACGATTATATTACTCACTTCAAGTCAAGCTAAAATCAAATATTGATGTTTATGAATAGAACTAAGAAAAACATAATTTTTGGTGATTTTCTAGTTCTTTTAGTGTCACGAAACGAATGCTGCAGTTTCTGCAGGAAAGGAATGCATTACGATGCTTTTTAATACAATGTTGTTTTAGTGTAGAATGTTGAGCTGCTCTATAAGTACACAGAGTACAGGCAAATGGTTTTTCGCCAGTATGCTTCCGGAAATGAGTTTTTAAATGACTTTTCTCAACTGTTTGGTACGAACATACTGAACATTTAAATGGTTTATTTTTCGTATGAGTAGACATTATATGTTTTTGTAAGTGCACTTTTTGTGAGAACTCTCTTTTGCAATATTCACAGACAAAACTCAATCGGGTCTTTCGTTCACCAAAAGTAAGGGGTGTTTGTGTGCAGTAAGTTATTTCATTGCACAATGAAGTCGTATCTGGGTTTGCAGCGTTTAAAGTCTTTAAAGAATTATCTCCAAATTCAGGTTCTGCTTCACCATCAGAATCACGAGAAAACAAAATTGGACATGAAGATATTTGAGTACAGGGAGAACTCCCATCTACAAGACAGCATGTTTTGCGAACAATCGAAGGAACAGAGCTGCTAGGACCCCCTGAACTGTAGTTTGTTGGGCAAGAACCGAATACTGATGGTACTTGGCTCACTGACTGACAAAGAGCCGAGTTTCTATCGTTTGAATTGACCGAATTATAGCTACTTTTGTCTTCAGCAACGATGAAAGATGAACTTGTTGCATCTGAAACTGACATCACTTCCTGTGGAAAGCCGTTACTGTCGTTAACCATGCTTGATGATCGATGTTTCATTATCGATATTCCATGTGCACATTCAACGTGTGCAATAAGATCTAATGGTGAGATATAACATTCATCACAATGAGAACATTCCAAAAATAACGGATTGCCAAAACTTAATCTGGAACAACCATCTGATTTATGTTGTATAAATTGAGTAATTGAACATAAACGAAAAATTCTAGCACAGGTACCACAGAATAAAGAGTCAAACATAGTCTCGACTAAAATGAGTATGTGTTTAAAAATAACGAGACTGTTCATTTTCAATAATCTTTTCTAATCAATCACATTGTATTTACACTTTACACCATAAAAAACACTGAATGTTAAATAATTCTATTGATTTTGGTCGTACGTGCACAATGCTAAACGAAAAGTTTCCAATAGAAAACAAAGTATTAATGCACACTAAAAAACAAGGTCATTTGATAATTATCTGTACATATTGATACTGTTAACAAAATTTTTCATTCAACCAAATTAATAGCAGTGATATATTTACAAACTTCATCTCTACATGCTACATACACCAATACTAGTAAGCAATACTATCTCCCTCATAAATTAAACGATGTAAACTTGCAGATTAGTACCTCATTATAACTTGATATTTACTGATTACATTTCCCATACAAAATGTCTCAAGTTTTCAGTGTGTCCACAATTATTTTCACTCAATTAGTGATCGGATGTAGAAATAACATCTTCCATTAAAAAGATTTGAATATACCTTTCAATGCAATTCCTAGTGATAGGCTGTTCAATATAATCGATAAATCTATGGGACTAACTATTCGCGATTAAAGTGAATCTGTCATTCAAGATTTTATGGAGTCCGGGTACGGCTTCTGCATCAAGTTATAGTTCCGTAAGTACACTTTTTTGGGGGGGATGAATAAACATTCCCAATCCCGTCAAACTATGTTAGTCAGGTATATTGTCACGAAATTATCGTAAAATGATTTCTAGAATTTACTAAAGGGAGGAAACCATAAAATGGAACTAGTCTGGCATTAACACTATAGCTATGGAACACATTATTAATATGTGACAATATTAACATGCTACTTCTGCTTGTTGCTTAAGGTTGTATACTTATCCAAATTAGAACAGAAAATACGACAGACGGATGTGCCAGGTGAAGCATAACAAAAAAATGTAAATAATTTCCTGTAGAGGTCAATAACAAAGAGGAAATTTTTATTCAACTTAAATGAAATGATAAAAGAATATCTCTAATATCATGTGAAATTCCTGATTTTAACTTATTATTTACCATAATATTTCTCACTGTCCTTTCAATAAAGCTTGTAAAATATTGTCAACATTTTTTGAACATATTGGACTACATAAAAATATCTAAGGGTTTTGGCACCTCACTACAGTAAAGTTGCATGAAAGCACTAACAAGTCATAATTTACGTAATTACACGAGAAGTTCAGCTAATTAAGCACAAAAGTCTACTTTATTGTGTTAAATTCTTGTGGATTACTTGCTTTTAACGAATAACAGATATAAATACTAATGAGAAATAAGAAACCTTACTGTGCAAATATGCTCACACCATATCAGCTTTCTCGTTAACAAATGTGCTTGTTTTATCGGAATGTTTTTGTATAGAAGGAAATTCTAAAAAAACATACAATGAAGGAGCAAGAATTGAAGAAATTAGAAGTGAAGGTGACAAATCAAGTATGTAGCTCATTACCTAAATTAACGGTGACATTCAGGAAAGAGAACTGAAAGAGGTAAATGATGAGAAGAAAGAACTCTATGAAGAACTAAAGAGAATGAAACAAGACCAAATCGAACGAGAAACTACCTTAGCAGAGAATAACAGGGAACTACTGAAACTGCGATCTATAGAAAAGGAATATCAGGAATTCCAACATCAAATTTACGCAAACTCCCCCCCAGTCAGTACTCAGCTGCCGAAAGAAATTCACGAAAAGGTGACTCAGACTCCCAAATCACCAGCACTATCATTGAAACTGGATAGTTTGGTAAGGAAAACGATTGTTTAATTTAAAACACCACCTTAGAAAATGATCGAAACGCCTACTAAAACGCCGAAGAGTATATTGAAACAACCGGGTTCAGCAACAAAGCGCAGGAGAGTGTTTTTCGTTTACCCTGATTATGAAAGCATAACGAACAGTCAAAATGAACCAAGCTATCAGAATCAAGTATTTGAATCTCCATTATTTAAGAAAGTGAGTCCGTACACGATGAACACACCTAAAATTCAAAATCTTCAAACGCTTGAGAAAGTAAGTTGTTTGGGTACTTAAAATTCAACTATATATAATTGCCTTCAGCTATTATAATGACATATGTAACTGTTAAGGTATTCATAAAAATATCCCAAAAACTATTCTGTTAAGTCTAATTCTATGACTGAACGTAAAAACGTATGTCTTCTCACTTTCCACATATTTCATATGCTTCTCATACTTCACATCCCATTCCTATTGAGCAATATTTACGGTCGTCCCGACTGCATAATACGCATTGTCCGTCAAAATCCAGGCTGTACTCTGACCCCGTAAGCAAGCTTCATTTGACGGTTTTGTGTTCTGATATACTGGGGATTTGGGAAACAGAGTTTGCGGTCGTACTGGATTATCTTATGTTGGTCATTCGGTGGGATTTCGAGTAGCCATATGGCGGACTACAATAATAACAAACTAGTATTTCCTAAACGACCGAAAAAGCGTGATAGAGTTTTCCAAACTTTGAAAAGCTTAATACGAAACAGTTTTTGAAATTGCTTCGAAGGCAATCTGAAGTATATGCGAAAATCGCAACATATACATCAATATATTTAACTGGAGACTGTAGTGAAATCAGAACATAATAGTCAAAGATAATTGTCATAAAGAGTAAAATGGTGCCAATGGTAGTTCATTTAAAGATAAATATGTATCGATAATTCGACTAATGATTTAGACACAATCGCAAATATAAACACTCTGTAAAAGTGAAACCGTACAAAAAATACACACTCAAATATTTTTCAGATGACTAATATTCGGAAAACACCACGAAAATCTGGCCGCAAAATCACAGAAGAATGTCAAAAGGTGGATACCGAAAAATCTTGGTTTGATTGTGAACAAATTTTCGGTTACGGGGCAGAAGATTAATGTTGAAGCTGTCAAAATAAATGCATTTTATTATCAAGCAGATATGTACAACGTTTTCAGAAGTTCGTTAATAAAAAATTATACATAAATATAAGTTACTGTTATGTTAGGTGAATATCAAACCATATGGGAGCATGATCACTAACAAAGCCATTTGCACCACTTCCCGTTTCTTCAGGAATTAAAGGATGTCTGAGTCCTTGTAAAACGACGCCAGAATCACCAGTCCAACGAAGAGTGGATTTAGAATTCAAAGACAGGTTAGCAGAAAGCCATGCATTGTCATATGCTCTCAAATAACTCGATCTACATTTGGAATGATTTGTAGTTTGCTGTTCACCTTTGAGTACTGGCCATAAACCATGTTCACGCAACACGCGATAAACTTTTAAATAGACAAACAGGGATAAGTGGCATAACAAGGCAAAAAAACCAAATTGAATCTGAACTAATAAATATGAGATCTATAACTAAAATTATATAAATTGTTTGCGTAATGTGCCAAGTGATGCCTACAATCTTTTTAATTCATTTCAACGTGAAAGCAAACAAAGAACCTATGACTATATTAATCACATAGTTATAAGAGCTCAGGAGTATATTTGGGTGTTTGCATACAACCGGTATAAAATATTTTTGATCCCATTACGTTTATTCACTTGGAAATCGGTGATATCATCTCCAATAGTTTACAAAGAATGAATCGATGAAAGGAGGTTCAGAAAATACTTGAATCACAAATAATACTAGCATGTAAAGAGAAAATATATATTACGCTTGATTATAGTAAACAGTGTACTCATTTCGAATATAAGAATTGCTAGGACGAATTCTATACAACTGTGATTTACTTTTAACCTTAAAATCGCCACATGGTTATTTATTACAGATACGATTGATTTGTTGTCTACTGATGAACAAAATAAATACGACGGAACCGAACTTAATATTTTAAGTAGTCATTACGAAATTAAATTCGAATTTTTGATGCGCTCATTTAATGAATATTTTCAGGTTGGTGTTGTATCTTTATTCTTGTCAAAGCTTTAAGTATCGCAAATAATGTAGCTTTTAACCCAGTCAAGTAAAATGTTCTTAAATAGAACAAATCTTATTAAAACTTAGCACCTTGATTGAGAAAAAGTTCCACTAATCATTTTACCTGGAATAATTCACATGACAATACATATGATTTAGTTCTGAGTCTAATCATATAGAATTAATCAGTTACATGGATTTAAACTAACCATCATGTGTTGGAAAGAGGTTGAAATCACCAGCTATAATGAGATGTATTCCACCTGAAAAATAAACAGCGACTCGTGTTAACTATAGAGTAGTCGACTATAAAACAATAGAATGTGTTCAAGGGACCGAAATAGGTTGATTAGCGTTTTAAGAAGGGAGAAGTGTTTGCCCAATATTCTTTTAGTCTTACATTTAAAAATCTATTAGACAGTATAGTAGAATGATACGATTATTTGGTTAACATGTTGACGAATGATATTCAGATTGAATGTATAGCTTGAGAACGGACAGTTCATATTTATCTCATAAAACATGTATGAGATTAAGTAAGAGACTTAGTTGTCCTTAGAATTCTTTCTCATGTTAAATTATCCTACATGAAGCTTATTCACCTATTTGAATACTATAAGACAACTGATATTCTCTGTCATTACGAGGTCCTACTCATAATCATGTAGCATTTATACTTTATTCTGACCTTTTTAGATCTCTAAGTTCAGAAAGGTTATATATTGTTGAATACCAGTGGGTAATTTGCTTATCCCTAACATTTTCAAGCAAAGTCTGTCAGTTACAAAGGAGAACTTCGAAGGACGTACATAAGTTCAGTTTGCCACATCATATTAGCACAGAGACGCAATTGTCAGTTCAAATCCAATAGTGGTAGCGATAATAGAGGTATCAGCAGTCATGGAGAAGATTAGGCTTCGAAGATATGACTCAAGAAGTATAATTCATGAGATAAGTTTAGCAGAAGAAAAGTAGAGCTGATGAGGAATTCTGAAGATAAGAATTTCAGAGAACACAAAGAATAGATGAGCCTGCGACATTGAAAACGATTTTGAGCCATGTCGTTCACGGTCTCTAAAAATCGATTACTATCATCTCGTGGACCTTAACCAAGTATTCTACAATTACCAACATGACTCAGTCCACCTCTCGATGACTTCAAGGATTTCTACCACGTGTTCGTCTGGCCGCCCTTAGCTTTCTTCCAACCTAATCCTGCACCACAAAACATTGCTCGACGAGGCAGTCGATGGTTAGGCATTCGTAACACATGTCCCAACCACGTCAACTGATGATATTTCAGTACTGCATCTATCGACATGCCATTCTTATCTAGGACCCGTTTTCTAACGACAGCATTGCTTACTCAGTTGTCCCAGGATATGCGAGAAATGATTTGCAGACACCTATGATCGAAAAAACGTAACCTACGAATGTCCTCTACTCTGATTGGCTATGTCTTGCATCCATATAGTATGACGGAGCGAACTGTTGTAAGATACACTCGTCGTATGATTAGCAAACGGATATCTCGCCTGCACCATAGTTGACGCAAGTTGGCAAAAGCCAATCGAGGCTTCTCCATCCGTGCCGAGTTTTCGTCAATCACCAGGTCATCAGCACTGATGAGATTACCGAAATAAGTGAAGCGGTCGACTTGCTCAACTGTTTCACTCCTTATCACTAGGTCATGTGCCGATACAAACCAATCTTGAAGCAACATTTTGCATTTCGAAGATGAGAACCGCATCCCGAAGATGCTTGCGTTGTCGCTTAGGGTAGTCAGAATACTCCGCATTTTGTCAACGTCTTCACCTAATAGAACTATGTCATCAGCATACTCTAAATTAGCAAGCGTGTCTCCTGGTAAGAGGTCCAGGTCCACTCCTGAAAACTCAGACGACGATAATGTTAACTTTAGAAGCGTATCTACGACAAAGTTAAACAAGGATGGAGAGAGTGGACAACCTTGAAGGACACCACTTCAAGTAAAGAATTCCGATGACAGTTCACAATAAGCTATTACTCGACCAGTGGTGTTCGATTAGAGAGCTTGTATAAGGTTAATATACTTGTTTGTCATACTTTTTAATGACATACACTGCCACACAACCTCACGATTAACACAGTCGAATGCCACTTTAAGGTCAAGAAATACTACTATTGTGGGGCGTCTGAACGTGTGTCTTTGTTCTAGGACCTCACGTAGTTTGAATATTTGGTCTATACATCAACGTCCAGGTCAAAACCAGCCAGGTTTTATCTAGTCTGCTCTTCACGACCTTTCTTCAAGCGTCGGATTATTACTGAAGCCAATGTTTTCGAGACTACATTAATTAGACTGATTCCTCTGTGATTGTCACAAGAGGCCTTTTGTCCTTTCTTGTAGACTGGGACAATCAGCGATTGAGACCAGTCGGATGGGATCATGCCCAGTTCCCAGATTCTGTCTAAGATCTCAGTCAATCTAGCTGCTAAAACTGGACCACCATCCTTAAGAATCTCATGAGTAAGCCTATCAGGTCCGGTTGCTCTCCGTCGCTTCAGATTTCTTATAGCTTCCTCGACTTCGTAGAGACTCGGAGGGCTGATATCGATTTGCCATTCTGGATGATTGGAGATGGTGGGCAACTGAAGTGTGGCTGAAAGCCAATCGATGTGATCGCTGAAGTGTTCTGCCCAACGATTCAATCTCCTGAATTGAGAATGGATAATAGTCCCATCCTTTTTCGAGATAATTTAGCTGACAGATGGATTTCTAATACCGGTTTCTTTGTTAAGTCGGAACAACTGTCTGCTGTCGCATATTGCCGCTGCCTTTTGCATCGCTTTTGATTTCACCAGCTACCACTGTTTGCGTTCATCAGTCTGAGCATAAGCTGACTTTATTCCTCATCATGTTCAGAGAGCCACAAGCATATATCATTCCAAACTGCCCCTGGAAGGAAATCACTTGCTTGACTGCCTGTTTTTTTAATTGTTTCTGGAATATATTCTTAGCTATTCTATCATGAACTAGGACCCTATGACGTTGCCTTGCGAAGCCTTTCCTACGTCCAATAAGTCGCACACAAATACGCGCTCGCACTAGAGAATGATTTGAATATCAACATGTGCCCCAGAACGAGCGACAGTCCTCTATCGAATCCCTCCATAGGTGGCTGCTGATAGGGATGTAATGTAGCTGAGTCCAACGTTGAGACGACTTTGTGGGAAGCCATATCAAAAGATGTCTTTCCCTTTACTTAGAGTTAGTGTTTGCTAGAAATAGGCGGTTATCTGAGCATAGCTGCAGCAGACGGTCGCCATTATCTGTTCTCTAAGCCGCGAAACCATACGATCCACACAAGTATCTTTCCTTTTCACTCAGTCTACCTACCTGGGCATTGAAGTCACCAGCCACTATTACTACATCAGAACGCCTAACTTTTTAGAGGTCTGAACGCTTTCTGTAAAACTCATCTTTCACCTCGTCTGAACTGCAGCCAGTGAGATCGTAGGCAGATACGATGGAGAGGCGACGGCGAGTGGCCCTATCTTTCCGAATCCTTACTGTCCCATTCAGTCGGACAGCGCACAAACGACTATCTACTGCCCTAGGACTCAATGCTTTACCTACGCCACCGAGACAACGGAAAGAAGCATCAGGGCTACCAGATACACGAAGAGTGGAACGAGCTGCTTCTTTATTTTGACAAGGTGAAATCAAATTTATGATTTTACTAGGATCCTGTGTGCGCGTTTCGGAGACGCAGCCTATGGCGCGAGATTCTAAAGTCCTAGCTAGTGAAGCTTGTTGCCCTATTTGACACAATGTCCGGAAAACAAATGCCTCAACATGTAGTCTAGAACGGGGTTTCAGGAGACCAGGAATAAGGTTTCGTAAACTCGCATCGTTTGCATTAGCAGTGCAGGGTGTTAAAGGGATGTGAGAATGGTGAGATAAGATAATGGTGGAGATAAGAGAGACGTTAGGGGGCGTAGGAAAGATTTGATTGTGACCAATTAGATCTCGTGTAGTTTTACGGGTAACGTAGTGTCATCTCTACTTATTTATCGTACTTTGTAGTTGTATTTCTATCTATTCATTTGAGAGACGAACTTTTTATTGTGTCTTTGATAAATTAACTGATACGTTGACAGCTCGTGGATCTGTTTATGAAATTGTAGTTTTACTTCATTTTGATTGATAGTACCATACTTTCAAATATGTTTGGTTCTTTGGTTTCGTGATTTTCGCATGTAACTCGGTCGCTAATTTACAATCATCTCATAATTCTCAAACATTATGATAAAGAAAATATTTCCAAAATCTAACGTTTGTCCAATAACACAAATAGTTACTAAGCAAGAAATTACTTTTTGATCACGATTAGTATAATACTGAGCTTTTCTAGCCAAATACAGCAAGCAATGAAAAGTCCAGAATTATTGGACTGAATCGTTTTTATAATTTTCAAATATATTTCGAACCGGTCATCCGCAACAACTACATTAATACATTAAATCAAATAAGTATACTGCATACGACATAGGTATACTTACTAGGCTGAGTTTCGTAAAAAGCTCGAACAAGGGAGCCAAGAGATTCAATTTCCGAGATAGTCCTACCAATTTGACTATTTCTTAGTCCACTTGCTTTCAAATGTACTGAAATAAGAACTAAGTTGATATGTTGGATCTAAAAGTAAATTAAAATAACTCGTGATGTTCATACGGTAGTGTTACAGATATTTATATGCTGAGTGAAGATTTTCTAACGGATTTGAGAAGACTCTGCGTGTAAAAATCACATCAAAATGAAATATTTACGGAGTTTAATATTTACTCAGTGATGCACAAGAATGAATGCTACTCCATAACCAAATACACACATCCTTCGAGATATGAGTCACCCCGTTGCAAAACGGAAACAAAAGTATTTAAGTTTAAAACTATACAAGTCATTCAGTAATAACATCAAAGCTACGTCGAAGGCAAAATTGATTATTAGTGAATTCAGAGAAGAATAGCTAAAATAAGACAAAAAGTACAGAATATTAGAGATGATCGTTTAAAAGAAAAAAGAAATGAAATTTTGGGAAAGGCAACCAACTTGAGATTGAGTTTATGAAAAGGATTAAATAGTTGTATATACTTAAGGCTTGTCAGATTAGCCATAATCAGAGTATATATATATATATATATATATATATATATATATATATATATATATATATATAATTGAACGAAGGAAATAGTTTTAAGCTAACAATCATTTTTAAAGATTTCATGTTACATACATGACAAGAAGCTCCACATGGACTTCGTGTAAACGACTTTCTTGGAACAGATAATGAGTTCGGAGACTTTTCCAACAAACTTGTCCGAGAAATCCGAATACCACATTGCGAATTGTATAGAAATACGGCATACTCTTTTGCACGAAACATGGAACCAGTTGGTTGGACAGAACATGATGCTTTCCAGCACGGGGGAGTAGACAGAGGATATTCTTCAACCCATCGTTTTATGTGAGGAAGAGATGGACAATTTAGCTCATTGCATAGCTAAAATTATTAGCAATATGTACGGGTATTAATAACGAAATAGAAGTCACGCTGGAATATAAAGTATTGCTGGGAAGAATCGCAAAAATAACCATGTATTTAAACAAAATGCAATACACAGTTTGAACTTACATTAACTGAGATAACGTTATAACCAATCCGGGCTTGGATTTGTAGGGAAATTAGTGAGAGAGAATGTTTACAGATACTGTGTAACATATTTCGAAACGAAACACAACGGTACAAACATATCTAGCATATAATTAGACTAAGATTTTAATTCTCAGTACACAATCTCACATATTATTTTTGATGATTCTGTTTTACGCTTTTGCGTTTCATGTTTTGCATTGTTTTTGTATACAACTTGAAATCATGCAAGACTGTTTAAAGACCTGAAGAAAATAAATATATGTGCTCCACTTTAAGGAACCAGTTAGCTGAAAAATAATGTTGTACAATGCGTGTTTCTTATTTACCGTTCTAACAGTTATATCTAAAGTTTCACCAGATAAAAATTACGAGCTGATTACCATGGGTCAACTCTCAGGAAAGTAATGAACATGAAAAGCCGTCAGACATATATGAATAAAAAATACGCCATTGGGTTAGCTAATTAAAATGAATAGGAAACCAGAGTTTAAGTGCAAACAAAATCTAGTAAGTTGATCAGAGTTAATGATTGTGATTTAAAGTATCTGCTAAGAAATTGATGAGTCTAAAGTAACCCACAGGATAACTTCCCGGTAATTAATCGTACATGAGTGAAGAGTTGAAATTTTTTATTTGTAATAACCCAAAAACATCTATCGAGAGCTAACTTACATATTCAGCAACTAAAGGGTCTGAGACTTCTTGAAGTAGTATTAGTGAGAAGTTCATTCGTAAGATAGTAAGGCAAACAACTTCCATGAATCCTGGATGCTTAGCTTTACTTAAATCGAAGCGGTTAAGATTCCAAGATCCGATCCGTATGTGCCTTTCTAATGAAGAAATAAGAGGGAGTGGCGGGTCAAGTTCATTTAGTAAACCGCATGAAGCAATTAAATGGAACCAATCACGAATACCTTCCATTCTCAAAACTAGCTGAAGTTGGGACTGAGAAAAGTTATCATTCTTTTCACTGGTTCTGAAATTTGAAAATTGAGAAATATTATTATTCATTAACTGAAGCGATCGTGTAGAACACTTTTCTCACTCTCAATGTTTATTTACAATATCCGAATATCGACTATGGGTCCTAAAACTTGAACTTTAATGTTTTTCAGTCAAAAAAATTCTTCACCACTTTAAATCAAATACCGGAGAAAATAAGATATAGTTTACTTACTTAGTATCATGACTGAATTTATGCATTTGTTTGCTCTTTATTATGGTGCTTTTCAATTTTTCCAGAAAAACAGTACTCTCTGTATATTCATTCGATATTGCCATATATATTTCCTGAATTATATAGTTGATCTTAAAAAATGACGAGCAATATAATCATTTATTACTATAAACTATATAAGGTATTAAAATTAACGTACCATAGACTTGAGACACGTTAGAAATAAACAACTCTACTCAATATAAATAAAAGTTAGAATAAATCAAACATTTGACCATTCACTATAAATAACGTGCAGGAAACTTAACAGTCAAGTCCAAACAGACACAACCCTAGAGAGGTTATTCAGTAACTCGCCTTGGGTGACTAAATAAATATACTAAAAAACACATACAATAATACGTAAAGGTTATAACCCAGAAAGCTATTGCATAGCATTAATCTATATTTTATGACTGTATATCCACCATAATAGGACCGATTGGCTCATCATGAAGAGATAAACTGTACGGAGGGATGATCATTCGCCTCTTGTTTATATATATATATATATATATATATATATATATATATATATATATAAACGATTTATTCGAACAAATCAATTACTTATACGGTATTTTTAACCATACCAATCATTTGTTTATTATTGCACCTGTGACGAAAACAAACGAAATAAAATTTGACTACATTTCCATGACCATCATCGTATTACTTCCTCTCTTAACGATTCGTAAGGCGGTATACACTTGACATCAAAGCTACATATGGGATAAACCCTAGAATGTTATTATTAGCAGTCTTTTATATGCAAAAGACAACAGACACCAACTTACTTCCTAAGATTTACTTAATAGACAAATACAAGATGGTACAATCTAAACGCTCTGCTAACGGAAACTTTACATGGATGTAGGAGTATGTCAACTTGAAATGATGTATGTCCCGACCGTAGATGCTACCTTGACGTGGTGGTCGGGCTTGCCTATCGTGATGACCCAACCGAGCTATACTGGCTGGAACATATGTTCCTGCAGGTCCTACCATGCCAGGCAGGTCGATTGCAGAACGATCAGACTAAAAGCAGCTAATCAAGGTCTGAGGGCGAAGTCGTACTGCTGACTGCAGAGGGGTGTGACAGCAGTAAGGTGTTTCCCTCGGACAACCAGCATCTGCAGCGATGCTGCCTTCTCACAAGGAAGGAAGGGTTAGAAAAGGTCGACACTAAAAATGTCACACCTCACCCTACCTCACGGATTTCCGTCTCCGGTGGTAAGGGTGCCCACTAAGGGCCTTTAAGAACGGAGCTAATCCTCAAAAATCCTTTCATAAAAAGGCCGTGCGTGACCGGCCTCAAGCAGTTGTCCCTTGGGCTCTGCGGTCACTCTCCCAGGTCGTTAAGACCAACGCTAATCTACCTTCCTTTTCAGGTTCCTCAAGAAACAACCTTCCACGGTGTGGGCAGCCGGGAAGGGACAACCGCCCTCATACCCGTAACAGCACGAGAGACCAGATTGGTCAAAATTCTCTGTGCTGATGTGGTATGGCGACATGAACTGATGTACTTACGTACGAAGTTCTACGTTGCATCTGACTGACTGACTGAGGAGTATGTAGGTTGCCATAACTGTCAACTAAACAAATAAAAGTGTAGTGATAACAGACTTACACAATAGGACCAAGTATATCTCCATAAGTGATGTTATTAAAAACAAAGTGAAGCTGAGAAATGAAACAATGATATCCAAAAAACTAAAGTTTCCCATACAAAATAGTTTGTATCTAGATTGTTTACAATAACTGAATGATCATGTATGACTATCAAATATGATGAAAATTAAAAATATACCCGATGCTGCTTATACTGTGTACTTCATAAAATCTATCGACCAAGCGAGATAGGCGATATGAACATTGTACAAACAAACAGTATTTTGTGTTTTAGTTTTAAGGCATAGTGCCTCCACATATATTTGGCTTCGCTCATATTTAATTTGGCCAAGCCTTTTGATTAACTTAAATTAACCAAGCAATACGTATAGCAACAACTTATATGTACCATTGGCTTTTACTATTGTCTGGTTTGTATGAGCTGGTATGACTGAACATTGCTTACCGCATACGCGCATATTCATTCCGTTCGCTTTAATATTAATCTCTTAAATATCACGATGACTCAGACATTTCCCTTTGTATATGTATGTACATTTTAATCGTATTAACTCCTTTGCCAATTCGCTCGCTCTCTAGCGTGCTTGCCTTTCTCTGTGCTTGTGGTCTACTGGTCCATTTGTGATGTGCCAAAATAAACGTATTCAGCACTACGTACTCGCATTCTCATTTATAAACTATGAGACGAGCAGCATACGAAATCTAAGAACATGTTGGGTACCGACCGTCACGAAACTAGTGAGACATTCAACCATAAAGGTTCACACAAAAATATAGCATGTAAACATTCCAGCGATAACAAAATAGACTTTAAAAAGTGCTGCTTCGTACATAGTATAGGGAATCACTGTATTTCCCATAACTCCTGGAGCTTTTAAAAGGGTAGGGTGACCTAAATTTGGAATGTGTGTGAAAACGTCAGGTGGTTTCTGGCCAGAGAGCCTAAGCTTACAACTGTCACGAAGTTTGGTATATGCTTCTTTTATTTTAGCAATACTGTGGTATCAAAGTTAGAAACAATGTTTTATAAATCCTGGATACACTGATTATTTGATGAGATTGTTTGAGTTTAGTCGAGAAAAAAGATTCAGACTATTTCGTTAGTTACAGGCTGCCTTCTTCTAGGACACAGACAGTTGTATCGAACGGACTGCATCTGTCAATCTCATATCCGTGTTCGATAACGAAGGACTGTAAGTGCACCATATGGACCAAGGATTACTGAAACGTGGAAATTTTCAAGAACAGCCTCCTACCCCATTTTTTCCCTTTACATTAGTTATGTTTTCGAAGGTTGGTTAGTTAGAACTGTATGATACTCTGAGTATAAAGCAATTTGAGAAAATCTTCAGTAATTTGGGCACTTGACAGATGTTACCTAATAATTTTAAACACTTGTTCGACATCTTGTGAACTTCGATCAAACCTGAGCTTTTCTGCAAGTCTTCAAACAAATCCATGACTTCTCAATACTAATCCTATGTTTTTATGTTTAAATTGAAACTTTTAGCCCTGTCTTTGCTGGAGGTAAATAAAATATATCCTTCAAATCGGTAAGAGAAATCATTTTGTCATTCATAATCGAAGTAGGATCTGCAATGAATGAGCTTTCTCCAAGCTGTCACGCTACATTAAACACGGTAAGATCAAAAACTAGTGTCGGTTATTTGATAAAACTAGTTTTTATACTCACTGGCTGAGTTACATAGAAACATAACATTGGTAGTCCCACTATCCTCCCTAGTACGTCTTTTAAGTAGCCCGAAAATTGTGGGAAACTTGTGTAAGTACAGAATCGTACTAAGCACCGTGTGTAAGTGCCATCTGAAATATTTGGATAATATGCCAAGAATTCGATTCCTGAAAAGCAGGTTAATAGTCCGAACCCCGCTCGAATTGCCTTGTTTTGGGAAGCGAGGTAATATAACCAGGACTCAAACAGTGTAACTTAAATCCAAGAACCAAACCTGCACTTGTTAAATCACTAGATATAACTAGCTAGCTAAAAGACACAGGTAGTATATATTGACCAAATACTAGCGGGTACTAAGTATTTGTCTTGATGCTTTTTCTTCTAATATCAAAACTTGGAAGCCATACGAATACTTTCTATGGATACTATTAACAGATAGTAAGCAACCAAACGGTAAGGGGTGGAAGTTGTCTCAGTTGTTTGGGTTGAAAGTGGATCTCTGAATCACATTTTCTTCGCACTAATGTTAGTAAACACCATCAATTTTTAAGCAGTACTTCCACTAATTACTGCTTATATCCTCAGCCTTCTTCAATTCTAACCTTATCGCTTATTACTACGCCCCTTCTGATTAAAGTCCCAGTTGTCAAAAAATCACTGAGAATTAGAGCCTAAATGGATAGGTCCTGGTTAGTTTGTGAAAGAACCACAGACAAGAAGAAACTGATGTCCATATGTACCCATGAGACTGATAAAATACAAGGCAAATTTCAGATAAACATGGGAAAAATTATCATGTATTCACTGAGTACGAGAGATTTACTGAAATATGCTGATACAAGCAAATTAAAATGAAACATCGTATGAAATACATTCCTGACTAACCTGTTCATTAGCTAGATCATCTGCGTTGCTGATATAATTCAGAATTTTCTTAAGAATTTTAGCATTCTTCACTGCTGATCTGTTTTTGAAACAACGCCAAAAGCACTAAAAAGTAGCAAACAATAAAAAGTGTGTTAATCATACTTTAAGTTTGTGACAACAGGTTCTAGATATAACAAGTAATCAAGAGATAAAGACAAGTGCAAAGTCAACTTAAGTTAAGGCTGATAATAAGCCTACGCAATGAACGCGAACAGTGGTAGGTGGTGAAGGCAAAAGCGATGCAAAAGGCAGCGGCAATATGCAACAGCAGACAGTTGTTCCGACTTAACAAAGAAACCGGTATTAGAAATCCATCTGTCAGCTAAACTATCTCGAAAAAGGATGGGACTATTATTCATTATCGATTCAGGATGGAAATCACTTGCTTGACTGCCTGTTTTTTTAATTGTTTCTGGAATATATTCTTAGCTATTCTATCATGAACTAGGACCCTATGACGTTGCCTTGCGAAGCCTTTCCTACGTCCAATAAGTCGCACACAAATACGCGCTCGCACTAGAGAATGATTTGAATATCAACATGTGCCCCAGAACGAGCGACAGTCCTCTATCGAATCCCTCCATAGGTGGCTGCTGATAGGGATGTGATGTAGCTGAGTCCAACGTTGAGACGACTTTGTGGGAAGCCACATCAAAAGATGTCTTTCCCTTTACTTAGAGTTAGTGTTTGCTAGAAATAGGCGGTTATCTGAGCATAGCTGCAGCAGACGGTCGCCATTATCTGTTCTCTAAGCCGCGAAACCATACGATCCACACAAGTATCTTTCCTTTTCACTCAGTCTACCTACCTGGGCATTGAAGTCACCAGCCACTATTACTACATCAGAACGCCTAACTTTTTAGAGGTCTGAACGCTTTCTGTAAAACTCATCTTTCACCTCGTCTGAACTGCAGCCAGTGAGATCGTAGGCAGATACGATGGAGGCGACGGCGAGTGGCCCTATCTTTCCGAATCCTTACTGTCCCATTCAGTCGGACAGCGCACAAACGACTATCTACTGCCCTAGGACTCAATAGTTTACCTACGCCACCGAGACAACGGAAAGAAGCATCAGGGCTACCAGATACACGAAGAGTGGAACGAGCTGCTTCTTTATTTTGACAAGGTGAAATCAAATTTATGATTTTACTAGGATCCTGTGTGAGCGTTTCGGAGACGCAGCCTATGGCGCGAGATTCTAAAGTCCTAGCTAGTGAAGCTTGTTGCCCTATTTGACACAATGTCCGGAAAACAAATGCCTCAACATGTAGTCTAGAACGGGGTTTCAGGAGACCAGGAATAAGGTTTCGTAAACTCGCATCGTTTGCATTAGCAGTGCAGGGTGTTAAAGGGATGTGAGAATGGTGAGATAAGATAATGGTGGAGATAAGAGAGACGTTAGGGGGCGTGTATTTTACTTTGGGTGGGATAGTTCATTTTACTGACCGGTTGCACCAGACTTGTGTATTAAATAAAAGCAAAAACTACTTGCGTGGTCGAGACAAAAGTCTATATGGTGAATAAATATTCGGATTGAAACCCAGGTTTTATATACATGCTGATAACCTGCATTAGACTAAATCAGTATGGGAGAAGTTAGATCCGAATTTGTTTACTAAGCATTAAATGCCTTTTAAAGTCACAATCATATGCAATACTAGCATTTAAAAAACAGCACAGATCAGATAGAATCCGTTTAGAAAATAAAGCCTTCAAATTTATTAGGGAAACGGCTTACCATCATAAATCCGAAGGCAAATAGCTTATTTGACAAGTTAACGGACAGTTGCCCTGACAAACTACGAGCAATGAGTCTTTACCACAAAAATCATTAAGAGAATACTAAACTCGTCACATTAGTCAGTGTGATCAATGATCAGATGTTGATCTGAAGTAATGCAACTGATACTAAAATATATATACCTGAGACATAAAGTAGGAACTTATCTGTTGATGATAAACGTGGGTATCTGAAAATCATGCTCCAAATACTATGAGTATTAAAACCACATGGATATCAGGACGCTAGCTCAGTTTGAATAAAAACCGACATCCTTTTTCAATGTTTTGGGGAAAATAAGGTAACATTTGTTACTTTAAAATAAAATCTTTTTAAGACCAACTTGGGGTTTATTTTCGTAAGCCGACACTATTACAAATTTTCAGACAATTCATCCTAAGGATAAAAGAACTGATGCCTTGGACGCACAATCGATCATGTTCACTGTAACACTCATTAATACTGTTATATAATGCATTAAGCAAACGGTAAAGCAGGCAACTGAAAATTTTACATTTGCGTTAGGTACAACGAAAGAAGACATTTGGATCTCAAGACCAGCAAGTCCACTGGTCACACATTGCATATAACATTTTAGCTGTTGTCCTGTTTTGCACATAGTATTGATATCTCCTTTTAAATTTAAATACCACCTCATATTGATCACGTTATATTACAGATGTGTTAGCTGTATACACCGGTCAAATGCATATTTTATTCCAAAGACTTACTAATATAACTGTGGATAGTGTTGAGATATACGCAAGAGTAATTCAGTCCCGATACATAACAGGATATATAGATGACTGAAAATACCGATTGACTCAATATAATAAAACTAGGATCAAGAAGACCAGCAATCCAGATGGGTTAAGATGAAAGTAACAGACACTGACGAAAAAAATGGTTGACGTCAGAATTTTCTGTTTATTTTGTACTATTCTTCTTTTCTCAAGAAGATCGCTATCAGGGGTACACATCCCTAGGTTTTAAACGACATGTTTCTGGAACGCACGCAGAATTATTAGACGAATTAGACGAATGCTGATCAACACTATTTTGTAGCCTAATTAATTTGAGCAAGAAACATACAAGATACAAGCAAGGCATTGTCCTTGATTTTCATATGTTGTGGGTACTACGATATCCAATAACCAATATCTTTTTCAGGCGCTAGTATAAATCAATGAATTTCTTTGAGCTCGATTCTCGTTCTTTCGGTACGGTTCCAGGTGTTTGGTAATGTCCAGTGAATAGGGGTCTAGCGACTCGGCTGTCTAATTCTAGTCAGTTGGCAGTTGGTTGTATGTATATCTCGTGATTTGAGGGAAAACGTTTGTTTCCGGACAGTTGGGTTTCTGGATACCAGAAGCTGTCACATTACCAGACCGAAGATCAGTTAGTTACAATATGGAGAACAATAGGGATAAAATTATAATGCCAATATGGATAAAATTTCAGAACTACGTAATATACAGATAATTTAGTTTATTAATTAGTAGTGAAGATTTTGAGAGAGGACTGAAGTGTGAGAAAGGGTAAGGAAACAGAAATAACAGGCGAGATAGAATAATTGGGTGATCTGAGGAGATGGCGTTGATAACAACTAGCAGGTCTCAAGATATGCATCAAGCACAGTTTGTCCAAGAGGAAGATGATAATCCTCATGTGAGTATGTGGTTATCAAGTGTCTTCTTAAAGTTGTCCACTGAGGGCCCGTGTACGCCTGGGCTGAGAGAGCGTTCCAAGTTGCGACGACTCAATGAGAAAAAGTGTGCACCAACCTGAGTATCTGCTTTTTGATGTGCATTCTTTCGAGGATTGTCTGGAGGGGAGTGGTGGTGATGCATCGGTAAGATGCTCACGTTGGGGTGGTTTGGCGTGCCTAATATGTTTTACACCATGATCGAATCACCTTTAATCCTCCTGTAACTCAGTGTAAATAATCCTAAGTGCTGGAATCAATCTTCACAAGGCTTGTTTTTCAACCATATCACCCATTTCGTTGCTCGTCTCTGCACTCGATCCAAGGGATTTATGCCTCGTTTGAGCAGAGGGGGTGTGATGACGTTGTAAACCTCCAGGTGTAGGAGCGCATACGTCTTAAATAGTTTTAAGAATAATTCTGGGGTGATAACACCAAGTTGTCTTCGCATAAAGTGAAGGGTTGCATGTAACTTGGCTGCGTCCCAAACATAATTCGGGCTCATGTGGAGGCTTTGTGTGGTTATTAAACGGAGATCGAGCTCTGAGGAGACATTAGCGAGCGGACTTCCATTGAGGGTTTAGATCGTTTGCGCCGTATGAGGCAGAATATGAATGACGTGGCACTTCAGTCGGTTGAGTTTTAAACCGTTTTTCACTACCCATTCCCCAATAGATATAAGGTCGTTTTGAGATGGTGGAGAAAATTTGTAGCTCATGTGGATGATTGTGGCGGTGTTTGGTTCTCTGAGCCGGATATTTTGGTTGTGGAGCTTTCACTGTTCTTCTGAACAACATTATCAGCACAAAATTAGGATGGAAGTGAAGCATTCGAATTTCTCCACGTTTGACCTGTAGCTTGTTCTGCTAACCTCGGTCTTGTTGCTGTTGACCTTAAACCTGTCGTTGTTTTCACCTTTTGATTGTATCCCCCTTTCGATCTGTTTCTTGATCCTATGTCATCCGGCTCAGAGAACTAGACACCACCACAATTAGGTCTTTTTGAAGCTCAACAGGACCTTTTTCGCATCGTTTGCGTAGATAAATCACGGTGAGCCAACTGAGCCCAACAGGTCGTCAATAAATATCAGGAAGAGAAGTAGGCCTATGATGGTCCCTTGCATACCCGATAGCTCGCGTGCACTCTATTCATCTTGGTACGAAACTTTATATTCTCAAGGTAGTTTCTGAGCCAAGATACGAGTGGGTCAGTGAAGCCAATTTCCGCAACCTTCGCGGTTAGGCGTGCGTGGGGTACTGTGTCAAAGGCTTTTGCAACGTCGAGAAATATTACGTGCACCGGTATTTTACGGTCCAAACAGGATGTCCAACTGTCTCATGCGATGAGAATATTAGATGCTCATGACCTGCATTTCCGAAACTCCTGTTGGGCTTCATGGGGTATTTTATTCTTATCCATATACTTCCTCATTTGTTCGTTCGCCAGCCCTTACATTACCTGCTCGGTGACAGGCTGGGTCCTTTCTATCTCCTCCTTTGAAGAATGGAGAGAGACAGGCTTTTTTCCACTCAGCTAGGAATCGGTGTGACTCCAGTGAATGCCTGAAAAAGTCACACTACTGAGCAACTTTTTCACGAGCTATTATATACAGATTATTTATTTTGCTCTCTCTACTTGTTGTTTCGGTGAGGTTCCAGGTATTTCTTCATGCTCAATGATTGATTTCCAGCCACCCGACTGTGCCAAGTCAGTATGTACGTATCTGTCAAGTTACCTATGGAAACTGTTCACTAGGGAAACTTCGGTCAGTTTGACTCGCAGAGTATTCCAAGTATGTAACTCCGGAGGAGTGATATACTGGCAGGATGTTCGCACCAGAGTGACTTGGCATGCATAATATATTTTAAGCCATTTTCAGACCATGTCTTAGTATCCTATAACTCAGTGAGAATAATCTTAAGTACTAGAGTCCGTCTTCTCAGGACTTTCCAACCCTTTCACCCACTTATTTGCCCGTCTTCCTAATCCACCTCAGAAATGTGTTTGTTTGTGTCACACGAGGCAGAAAGTTTGCGACATGACATTTCAACGGCTTAAGTTTTAGACTGTTACCTCCTGCCCATTACTCCAATTTTGTAAAGTCCTTTTGGACTTTCAGCGAACTCTCTTCGCTTCTAATTAACTTCCATATAATAATTATAATAATTTGTTCTCAAATAACAGACATGTTACAAGAGGCATACCAATTTACAGGCAAGATCAAACTGTTAAGACTGGCAACGTATTTCTTTTTAAACGGTGTACGGTCACTGAAACATTTCACAAGATACATTGGCTTCGTGTAGATGGCTAAAATGTTTCACATAAGATTATAGATAATTTTGCAGACCCTAAAATGTACAGTGCGAATAATTGACGCGAGTTACATAAGTTGCGTAACGACGAGCTTCTTAATTACTGCGAAACAATGCAATATGGAGCCAGATCTGTATATAACAAGAATTGATGAGGTAAACGTGCAAAGATGTGGTTGATATTCGTCAGCTAATACATTTACAGGCACATAGGTAAATCAACCAAGTCTTCGGCAAATATCCAGACTAATTTATAAGGGTTGCAATAAGGTGCTGAAAAAGAGAAATAAACGGAAAGGGGCGTGGAGCAGAACAGGAAGTTTTCTTGTTTAAAGCCAAACAATGACTCAGCAGATACTTTTTTGATAAAACAAAGGTTTGTTTACTCAGTCCTTTTTATATTAGAATACTAACTGTAAACCCTTACTTATATAGGTTGATGAAGTCAATTCAGTAGTAAGATAACGAATGGACAATTAATCGTATGAATAAAGGAAATTCAGAATAACCAAATTGTTAACAACAATTTTGATTTACAGAATATAATAATGAGGCACAGTGATCTCATGCTTTTGTGATATTTTATTTATTCTTCTTCTTTTTAACTCTGTGGCTCAAGAAGTTATGAGTGAGCTCTTTTTCTGTATAATTTTCCAGATCTGCTTGTAATAGGATTTCTTGGTAGGAAGTTAAAACCAGTGCAAGGTTACGGACATGAGTAGTAGACGAGATTAACAAGGAAAAGTAACATCAATATCACTGATTTGTTACATCCTGCTATGTCGTGAGGAGCTGCAAGCAAACAAAATGTTCTGCCACACAGACACGGGTAGATTGATGCTATCGCCCCATCGTCATGACTGCTGGTCAGATACACCACCCTCCCTCAATTTGTGATGTTGGGCTCTCTTAAAGTTTAATGGTTTACTGTAAATAATTTTTTCTAGTCTTCTCTATATCTTTTGCACACCTTATCGGAATTAACTTCCTCTACTAGCTCCACGTTACAAGCAATCAAGACAACTTTGCCTTCTGTATGAAAGACAAAATAACCACGGAGCATGCCAGACTGAGTTTAAGTAAACTAATGATATAAATTGCAAGTTCTGTATCGGTTAATAGGTAGTTTGGAGATAGGAAGGACAGTGAGCTGGAAAAAGAAGGAAGAAGAAAAGAGCTGAAATAATATTAAAAATTAATGAGAAAAGCTATAAGTTGGTAAGCGGGCAAGGTGTTTGGATGTTAGTGAATTGGGAAAATAAAAATTTATTAAACTGTTAATACTCAAACAAGAAGGAACTGACAATGATACAGGGAGTTTGTTTTCGTTGTCTTCAACAGTACTTGATCAGCATTTACAGATTCTACAATTCGTCTGTCTACTAGAAATAAAAACTAAAACTGCTTTGAAGATATGAAAATAATGATTGGAATTTAAATTTAGAGAAAAGTCATGGTTAGCACTTTAAAGGCGTAACGTATTGCTGTTAGTAGGAGCAGGGGGATTTGTCCATGATTTCGTGATCCCTTAATGGATGGTAATGCGAGCAGAATATTTTCATAGTCTGTAATTAGTTTCTAAGGTTTATCTAAATATCTGGTGGACCGTGGAAGAGTGCCTCGGGACTTTGTGTGATTTCAGGGAATAGTCGATAAATCTCTTTAGAGTCTAACAACAGCACTACTAGTTTCTTGAACCTAGTGATTGTGTCACAGATACGAATAGTAATTGGTAACCCGTTCCATGATAGACTGTATCGTAATACAAAGAAATTACAACGCAATGATTTTTTGTGTTGTGCCGTAAATAGTGTATATGCGTTGTTTCGAAGTCTTAAAGCGGTATTGTGGTTCATATTTGGGCGGTATTTTAAGAACGAGAGAATATTTATCAGTTTATAGAGAAGTATTAGGTTGTTTTTCAACCGGTGGCGCCATAGAGGTTCTAGTGAAAGATGTTTGGACCTTTCTGTGTATTATGGCTCCACTCGAGCCGAGTGAAGCTTTCTTAGATATTTACTACTCGTATCTTGTCCATTTTATTCATGTTTGAGAAGATAAGTGAGCAATATTCAAGTGAGGGCCTTGTA